AGTTTCTACCTCTGCCACTCAAATTCATGCAAGAAGAGCTCGAAGTCTGTCTCTGCAAGGAGCAGATCTGTACTCAATATGGGTGGCAGAATTCATACACTAAATATGATTAATAACAGAAATTTGTTTCCTATGGCTGTGATTTCTAATGTAGTAAACAGCAAGTTTGTTCACATTTTAAAATTATACTAGAAATACCAAAAAGTGATCTGGTTTGCTGTTTCCTAATTCCATAATCATGATCTTTAACAAACTAAGGCATTTTACAATTAGATCTATGTGGCTTGGGAAGCAATTGGCAATGTCCAGCTTGTGTTTGTTAGAGATGCTTTTCCTGTAAAGGAAGTCACAGATTCATGGAATCATTCTGGTTGGAAAAGACCTTTAATATCATTGAGTCCAACCTTAAACCTAACACTACCAAGTCCACCACTAAACCACATCCCTAAGCACCTCATCTACATGTCTTAAATACCTCCAGGGATGGTGACTTCACCACTTCCCTGGGTAACCTGTTCCAATGCTTGACAACCCTTGCGGTGAAGAAGCTTGTCCTAATATCCAATCTAAACCTGCCTTGGCACCATTTTAAGCCATTTCCTCTTGTCCTATATCATTTGTTACTTGGGAGAAGAGACTAACCCCCACCTTGCTACAGCCTCCTTTCAGGTAGTACAGAGGGTGATAGGGCAACCCTGAGCTTCCTTTTGTGCAAGCTAAACAACCCCAGTTTCCTCAACTGCTCCTCATAAGACTTGTTCTTTAGGCCTTTCACCAGCTTCATTGTCCTTTGGACACACTCTAGCACCTCATAAAACCTAAAAGAGCTTTCTGAACTCAGGAATAGGTCATTGCAGGCACTGAAGTGGATGGAGCATGGGGAAGAAGGCAGTTTTTTTAGCATTCTCATGTGTCCAGGACATATGAGAGAGAGAGAGAGAGAAGCATAAACTAAATAAAGAAACCTTTGTGAGATAATGAAGTTAGTAATTTTCTGAGATACAAATGCAAACATTGTTGGGCCAAAGAAAAAGAAATTAATAAAGCTGAAGTTTGACAGCAGGTAAACGTTTGGTTTCCTGAACTCCGTGTAATATTGAAGTGTCATCGTGGAGCAAGTTATCATTTCAGATACAAATGAGGAGTGAATTAATATAAATCAAGAACTTCAGCAGAAGTTAGCTCAAGGTTTTATACAATCTCTTTGATATTTGAAAGGCTCCTGAGGCCATTTACAAGCTCTGAGAAGGCTTCATCATTGAAAAATGGCAGCTACGATGAAGGCTTCTGTTATATTCAAGCACAAATAAATACATAGGATAAATTCAGTCTCTATTCACTCTGTTATGTCATTGTGTGGCTGGGGTTACCTTAACATAGTTACAGATGATATTCCATAAACCATGGTTTGATTTTAGTGAAGTATCGCACGGGAGGTTCCTTCTGACTCAAATTCTTTAATTTGTAAGTGTGATGACCCTGTGATTTAAGCAGATCTTTAGCTAGCAAAGCAAGTTACAAGCGGTTTTCTTCTTGCTGCAAAGGGATATTGCATAGAAGTCAGCACTACAGAGAAGTAGATTTGCAGTCATAAATGTGTACTTGAGTAAAGTTTCTTTGAACTAAAAGAAAGCTGCTTTACTTAATTGAGTCTGGTTTGTATGTACTTACCTTTTAACCTGTGCATAAACCTCCTTTGTAAGACAATAAAGGTAATGCAGATAGTTAGATGCTTGCCTGAGTTGGTATCCTGAGCATTGCAGAACCAACACTTTTTGACTGTTATGAAGCTTTAATTACATGTCTCTTAAGCATAGATACGAAGGAAAGAAGGAAAATTACTGTACTTTTTGGCAAATCCTGAACTTCTCTGCACACTCTTTGTACTTCTTGGAAGTTGATTGGTCTCAAGTAAGGGGCTTGCTGTGTTTTCTCCATCTAAGGGGGAAATGTTGCCATGTCATTTTTGATCTTAACACTCATGACAATCAGCTTAGCAATGCTGTGAGGTTTATGCATTCTTTGTGCTAAGATCATTGGTGTGCATAAGCACACTTATACTTTTGAGTTTTGCATATATTCTGTCACTTCATACATTTTTTGTATAATACCTCTACCTGCCTCTAATTTTTTAATTAATCCAGAATTTGAATTCTTATAAAAATTCTTGACTGAGCATGCCTTTTAAATGTTATGTCAAATTTACACTTATATGGAAATAGTTCTTGCAATTGAGAAAAAATTATTTCCAATTACAAATGCTGCTTCAAATTGTTTCTGAAGCATTTGCTATATGGCATTTACTCAGGAATTGTCGTGGTATCAAGTGATAGAATTCAGGTTTTCCCCTGGAAAACTAAATGCAAAGAGCTAGTCCTTTGTATTACATTTTCTCATAGTAGTACGAGCCACATAAAAGAACCATTACCTAATATTCTTCTAAACAGAAGGTGACTGCATTGTCAAAGACTGCTGGTGAGTAATTGCAGATAGTGTTGCCAGATTGTGACTAACTGGGTACAAAATTTTAGATTAAATCATTTACAAACTAGTAATGAGTTTTCAATGCAGCTTTTTTCCTCTATTCTAAAATACTTAAAATTAACTTCATTTTATATGTGAACAAAGTATATCTGTATTTATTTGTAAGCAAATGAAAAATGATCTCTTAGAGTATAAGCGCTGGCTTTTGGGTTTGGGGTTGACAGCACCATTAAGAATGATCAAAAGGAAATAAAGAAATAAATTTTCATATTCCACAAAAGAGAACATAAGAAATTTCAGCACAAGATGTTGTTGCTTTCGTAATAACTTTTCGTAGCTGTTGTACTTGATACACTTTCTCAGAAGGCTGCATTTTAATCTGTGAATGTGGGCTTCCATGGTGTTGAGTTTTTGTGATTACTATATGACAGTTGTGCAGTGTGGTTTGTTTCATTGTAGGATTCATTTACATGTGACAAGAGAGCACGTCTGGAAGGAAGTAGCGATGCAGATTAAAGACTTGCTGTAGTATTTTCAATATTTTTATTTTTGTGAGGACAAGTTTATTGGAAATCTCAGGCGTTGGGGATTGTGTGAGTTTTTGAGGTGTGCTCTGAACTTGTTTACCCACATTCATTCCTTTTCCTCAGCTACCTTTGTTTTCTGAACTGCCATTGGACAGGTGACATACGACATCTTAACTTTGAACTGGTTAAAGATTGATTCACAGGGTTAATAGCAGGCCCTGGCTTTATTTACCACAGATAAATATCAAGGTGTTATCAACCCCAGGGAGCATAGCTGGGGGGTCCCAGGTATATCACCTAGTTTGAGAATACAACTTTTTTAGCTGTTTTAAGGAGTGTGGAGGAAGGAAAGCAAGGCTTTGGTCTTCTACATTGTGTGGTCTAGCCCTTTCTCCCTAAGATCCAAGTTCTCCAAGTCAGGAGCCTGCAGTTACTGCTGGTGGCTGTAATTGTCCCTTAATACTACAAGGTGACAATAAGTAGAAAGGAGAATCAGAAATTCAGTAGAAATTCTGATCAGAAACTCATCAGAAATCAAAAAATAATGTGGGGGAGAAAGAAAGAGGAACACTTCATATCTGGATAAATCTGTTGTTTTCAGGAAAGCTTCCTACGCAAATCCAGCCAAATCATCCTCCAGTCACAACATGGGATGGAGCATGAGCTAGAAGGGCCTCAGGTTTGCTGGGACTTGCAGATAAACGTGCTGAAGAGGATTCCCCATTAGGAACAGTCTCACTATGGCCCAGCTAATATTTATGAAGGGCAGTGTTTTCTGCCTCTGAGCTTCTGTGCACCAGAGGTTTCTTGTGTGGTCCCAAGATCCAGTGAAGTACCAAGGTTGCAGGGTGTCATCGGGCTTGGTTTCAGTGCTGCAGGGGCACTGCTCCCTGGCTGGTTTTTCTTTAGCATCCCTGTCAAACTTCTGTGTAGCACAGAAGTCAAACCCAGAGGACTTAGGCAGCCCTTGCAAAAGAGCCGTTCCCATTCTGGAGTCTCATTTTCATCACTTGAAAAGCATAACAAGCTGACATGGTTTGGTATTTTGCCTACTATTTTTACATCTCTTCTTCAGTCCCTAATTTCATATGTCTGGTGTAAAAAGTTCTGGGCACAGAGTTTTGCAACTTATTAATGCCAGTTAACTACCTGGCACAAACCAATTGTCACCAGTACCCTGGATGCTAATGCCACACTAAGTAGAGCTGCAGTCATAACCTTTCTGTTAGTTGCTATCTCTGCTAGAAGACATTTCAGCAGCTGTTCTTCACCCAAGTCATTATCTGGAAACAGTAGATGTAACAGCCTACGTACTGTGTCCTAGTGAAGTAATGCAGTAGTCTGGATTTCTTTCCTAGTGAATAAGCATTTGTCATATAAAAATAATCTCTGAGGAATTATCTCGCATAAGGAATTAGTGCAGCTGAAGAGACATGTGGAACACAGCCATTAATTTGAAAGTCTTGTTAGAGCTCATGTGGGGTACATTGCAATTTTTCCATATTTGTTATATATCCTAACATGTAACAACAAAAAAGCCCCACAACCTCTGTATCCTAGTCTAATGTGGTGACTGCTCATTGATTGTGTACAATAGTGCTGCAGATCTTTCTTGTGTGGGTGCTGCTAGCCTGGGGTGAAAAATAAGTTGAATAAAAAAGCAGTGAGAATTACCTGTTCATAGAGTTCTGCTTTATTAATGTCAGAGAATACAAGGCCACAGTATTCAACTACCTGGTACAGACCATACACAAATAGCTTCTGACATAACAACATTTTGGCTGTTTCTTTTTTTATTGTTATTATTTTAGCTGTCCACCTTCTTAACTGAATCATGCTTTAAGGTCATTGTAACCATTGTGTTACTCAAGATGGTTTTTGATTGCATTGTGTATAAATGAAACAAGTCTGAAAATAAAAATAAATTAGAGACTGGGTTACAAAAACATATTGCAAAACCTAATTTTTGATTCTTTTGTTGCATCCTAGGAGGCTTTTCAATGGGAGGTGGAATGGCAATGCATCTGGCATATAGGTTTCATCAAGATCTGGCAGGAGTCTTCGCTTTGTCTAGCTTTCTTAATAAAGACTCTGCTGTTTACCAGGTGAGTGTGTGGTAGACTTTATAGAAAAACTACTTAACTGTCATGTTTTTCTTCTAGTTAAAATTGTGTAGTATATTTATTCATCTGAGGCAATTGATTAGTTTTCTGAACTCATGACATTTCCTGGAGATAGATAAGCAGACTATTGGGGAAGTGAGGCTTTAAAGCTCTCTTTACATGGCGCTTTGTTGCTTTTTTGCACATACAATACCATTATTTTATTCAAAGTAAGTCAAAATAGAAGGCAGATTAACAAATTAAATATTTTGCAAGTTGTCCTTAGTTGTTAGAACCCCTGTAAATGTAACTGTTCTTTGAAAATTTGGGTTGAATTATGATACTCCTGGGCTCCATCTGCTGTCATAAATTTTTTCTATTTCTCTTATTTGGAGAGGGGTCTAGACCTTAAAGTAAACCCTATCATTTCTCAAGAGTTAGCACACTGGAATTTGAAGTGAATTTTTTTCTCAATGTTTCCCTCTTTGCTTTTGTAGAGATGGTACAATATGACCAGTAAAATACAGGTTAATGTATGAAATGCTCTGTGAATTGTCACCATGTGTTTGTAACTGTTCTTCTAAAATTTTTAGTGATGTGTCTGACAGTGTTTCTTCTCCATGTAGGCTTTGAAAGGAAACAAAAGTGTTCTTCCAGAATTATTTCAGTGTCATGGGACTGCCGATGAACTAGTTCTGTACTCATGGGGTGAAGAGACCAACAAGATGCTAAAGTCACTGGGAGTATCAACATCACTTCACACTTTTCCGAACCTTAATCATGAATTAAGCAGAACTGAAATAGAAGAGCTGAAAACCTGGATTGTAAAGAAATTACCTGTTGAATGAGGAAAGACAAACAAATAAAAGAAGATGCAGCTTTCATATACTTTCTGGTTTTTGTGGTTTTAAGATTCTGTATGGCAGGTATATGGGTGTCCCTTGTATGTTGGATAAGCACAGCTTCAGGCAGGCACTGTTGTATTCCATCAAATTCATGTAAGTGGTGAAATGATGGTTCTGACCATTAACACTCATTTTATCATATGGGTTTCTTCTTTTAGGTTTTTAAATACAATCCATGTGAGTCTATGGAAAATAAGACAGATAATATTAAAACCTTTCTTAAATGCTTTTGGAATACAGTTTTGAATACTTATCTGAATTTCCCAGATAGCCTTTTTTTGTGCATGTGTTCTAAGACAGAAAAATATACAGTGGTACAGTTTTCTTTCTGATGGCTTTACAGCAGTAAAAGGCCAATTGCTACTTTTACTTGTAGAAATACGTGCATATATTCAAGTTAATTCACTGAGAGGAACTGTATTAGTTTCAGATGGATCCTCAGCATGTAAGAACAAACCTTCATCAAAGCAGAGTTGTGTGTCACCTCACAAAATAACCGAGGTTTGTGTGGTATTTTTAAAAGACATAAGTAGCTATATCTAGCTATATTGCAGGCTCTTGTTTTTACCCATTCTCATTGTTTTGTTACTCAGAGACCTAGCTTTATGCAAGCTGCTTGAGCTCCATGTGGCTTATAGTGTAAGTTTAAAAAAAAAAGTGCTATGATGATTAAGATCTATCCTGGTTTTGAAGAAATCATTCTTTGGGCACTGATCCTGTAGAAACTTATTTTTGCCAACAGTTTTATTTTGGCTTGCAAGTTCACATTTTAAATTAAAAGATGAGGATACTTGACTCCTCCACAAATATTTAGGAGTTGTAAATAATGATCGTGATAGAAAGAAAACGTTTATCCTGTTGTTTTCCTGGTGGATGATTCATTTCTTGTCAGTTTGATAAATTAACTCGAAGTATAAATATCTTTTCTTATGTAATTTTAATGCTTTTTTAATTTTCGCCCCCTCTGTCCCGTTTTCTCCTTCCCAAATTCAGTAATTTTATTATCATGACAAGGTATTCAGCCATTTGCCAAAGTCAGTATATCCAAATCTCTTGCTTCATCTTGTCTTTCCCCCTTTTCTGCAGAGTGGATCTGGGACACTGCTGTTTGCTCTGTCACACCAGCTCGCTGCCAGTGCTGGCTGTGGCTCCAAAAGTGTCGGCCAGCTCCAGGGGACTAAGTTTTGTTCGAATCCTCTTGCACTGAGACCTAAGCCAGCTTTTACCTATCTTGAAGAATAAGGAAAGGGGGAAAAAAAGGCACTGTTCAAATACAAGGCATGTAATTGGCAGTAGCAAGTAACAACTTCCTGCTGCTAAAAGTATTTTGCCTTATTTCATTTTGCTAGCATTAGCAAGTCGGCAGTCTGTTCTGAAAAACAGGATTTTAAATGGCACATGAAAACTCAGCTATTTGAAACAGTAACTGAGCAGCACTTTCCTGGTGCCCTCGGCTTCCTAATTACTACAAATTAATTTGAAACAGACGTGTTCAGAGGCAGCTGAGCTAACATTGCCTTGGCCCAACTCTAATTACAACCCTTGATAAGTGAAGCTGTAGCATTTTAGCAATAATACATCATTTTGAGTTTTGCACCATTTTCTGCTCTTCCTGCAATTCCTATCAGGAGGCTGTTTGAACCACTAATGCAAAGTAGTAATTCATTTTGGTGACAAGTGCATTCAGATGGGAAAGTGGTGGGCTCCTGGCAAGGTGGCTTTTAACAAGGTCGGAGAACAGCCCAAAACACTTGAAATAAGATTATGGAGGGAATAGATATTATTACTGAGCCAAACTCAGTTCTTTTGATTGTTTTTGCAGTCTCAATAATTGCAAATGCAGTGGATGCAGAGTTTGGTGTTGTTCTGATACAGCCTGAGAAGCAATTACAAAGGTCTGCATTTCATAACCTTCTTAGAAAACAGTCCCCAGTTTGTGTCTGTTTTCTTCCACCTTGCTCTGCTTGGGAATGAAATGTCCACTAATCAAGAGATGCGTTTTGTTGTAAGATTAGAAATCTCTTAGGTATATGCTATAAAGGTGTCCCAAATCCCGGAGTTCTTACATCATTTTTGGAATGGGATAGAACTTCTCAGTAGAGTTTTCCTTCAGTCTGCAGGTAGCTACAGTGAGGACAGTGTGACTTCCCTAGCCCATTTGCTGAGGATGGGGTGGCTTTGTGTCGCAAGTGGTGCCTAGCTCAGGTTGGACAAACAGGTTGAAGTTTAGCCCAGAAGAAGTCAGACTGCTAGTTGGTGTTGAGAAGCGTCCGGAGGCAATATTAGTCCTTGAAGACTGTGGCCCTGTTGTTAGATCTCTAGTCAAATGAAAACTTTAATAACCAAAAGTAACCCAGCTGCTTCACAGCATGTTTCAGAAGTAATCCACATAGGTTTTTGACTGACTGTTCCCTTTTTTTGACCTGGCTCTTTATTAATACACTTAAAAATTAATTTTCAAATTGATAGTGGAGCACAGGGCAGGGGTTAATTTGCCAAAAGCATGTCTCAGAATCACAGAATGGTAGGGATTGGCTGGGACCTCTGGGGATTGTCTAAGTTCACCTAGAGCAGGTTGCTCAAGAACACATCCATGTGGGTTTTAAAAGTCTCTAGAGACGAGACTCCACAGTCTCTATGTGCAGGTTGTTCCAGCGCTCCATCACCCTCAGACTAAAGAAGTTTTTCCTTATGTTTAGGTTGCACTTCCTGTGTCCTGGTTTGTGTCCATTGTCCCTTGTCCTATCACTGGGCACCACTGAAAGGAGACTGGCCCCATCCTCTTGACACCCACACTTCAGACAGTGACAAGCAACGATAATAACCCCTCTCCGTCTTCTCCAGACTAAACAGCTCCAGGTCTCTCAACCTTTCCTTGTAAGAGGGATGCTCCAGTCCCCTCATCATCTTTGTAGCCTCCACTGGACTCTCAAATAGTTCCTTGACTCTCTTGACCTAGGGAGCCCAGAGGTGGACACAGTACTCCAGATGTGGCCTCGCTAGGGCAGAGTAAAGAGGGAGGAGAACCTCCCTCCACCTGCAACAGTCCAGCAATGCTTATGGCATGACAGGTCCAGCATCTATCTGTTGGGGGCTAGGTAGAGTTTGAAGTACTTTGTGGAATGTTATAATGATAAAAAGAGTTCTCTTTTGAGTCACTGGTTGAATGTTGTTAGGACAGAGTTACAGCAGTAGGTGCCAGGGCATACAGAGCCCTGAACCAGTATGTCTTACCATTTGTATGTACATCACAGAATCACAGAAAGGCAGGGGTTGGAAGGGACCTCTGGAGATCGAGTCCAGCCCCCCTGCCAGAGCAGGACCATCTAGTCTATGGCAGGTAGATGAAGAGAATGGAAAAGAATGCAACTATTTTAATTCAACCCTAATCTTTCACTCCTGATATCTTTAGAGATGTTTATGTATGATATGAAGATGTTAAGGAAATAGATGCCATGTAGTCTTAGGAGAAGCAAACTCAGGGCTGTCTTCCCCTCCCCCCCTAGCATTGTACATGGGCTTTCTCCTATTTTGCTCTTACAGATTGAAGAAGGAAAAACTTGTTTGAAGATGCAGTCCTGTACATCATTTTGAGAAATAAATGTCAATATTCCAGTGCTGAGCATGGAATCTGTATCACCTGAGCTACTGAAAATACAAGAACACAAACTAGAAAGAAGGTGGCTCTGTGCTGTGCTAATGCAGAGAAGGCAGCAGTAGTTAGTTGACATTCTGACATTCTGTTTATATTCCTACTGTTATTCTTTCAAGGTTTTTGTCAGTATTTTTTTTCTTTCAAAAATAGAAAAGAGTTTGGCATTTAAGTACAAATTTTTAGTACCACTTAAAAATATAACAAATAACTGAGTAAATCCATTCAGATTGGTGTTACGTTGTTGGAGCTTGTTAATGTTTTCATGAAGAACACAATTCAGTAAGCAAAAGAAAACTAGTTTAAAGTTTAACTCTCTTGGGATCAGTTAGTGTGTTCCGTACTGCTTCAGAAACAAAGCACTAGTGTTTGGATTCTTTTTTTTTTTCTTTCTAATTTTCTGACATTACACATTTCTATTTCAGATGCTTGAAATTTGTGACTAGATGATTGCTGTGAACTTGTGTGCCTTCTTAGTAGTTAATTTGCTAGTACAGACTTAGAGAGCAAGAGAACAAATGTGAATCAGGCAGAAATCAGCTGATCAATGTGGGAAGCCAGAAGTCCTTGGTAATGTAATTTTGTCATTAAAGTAAGAAGTTCTCTACTGAAATTAATCTCTTCTCATGTTAAATCTTTAGCTTTTTTAGTAAATCATCGTTAAAGCCATTTAACAAGTCTCTACAGAAGAAGTGAGCCAAGTGGGTGACTGTAGCTTGTGTTTCTAAAGATGAGATCCAGATGGCAAAACATGGAAATGGGAACCTAGTGGATGATATTAGAATGAAATTTGTTAAGACGTACATGGAGGAAAGCAATAGGAGTTTACTTTCCTGTTGACACGCTTTCTAGGACAGTTGAGAAGGTACTTTGGGAGATCTTAGAAGAAAAAAACTGTTCCATGGGTTTTCCATCTCGAGTCAAGCTTCATTTGTGATGTAGCTGGTTAAAGGTGCTCTAGAGAAAAGACATAACACAGTTGCCAATTTCAATAGCTTCCTACTTTTGTTTGTTTGTTTTCCAAACCTGCTTTGATTGTGGGAACATGGTATCATTAGTCAGAAGAACCAGCAGCAGACTTCTATTTTCAGTACCAGATTGTGTGCTCAAATGTTTCTCTATACACTGCAATGAGACTTAATGGCATCGTGCTCATGTCTTAGTTACCGACTGATCAGGAGCACTCACCTAGCGTGTGGGAGAGGAGTGCTCTTCCTGTACAAAGCTGCAAGTCAGGGTATTGGTCTTTACAAGTGAGAGCCAGAAGGAAAAGGCGGTGGTGTGCCCACCCCCAGTCTGTACTTCAGCATCTAGTGTTAGCTAAAGA